TTTCATTGACCAGTGTTGTAATATTCATTAGTATTGTTTCTTTCACAATTATCGAGAGGAAATTAAATAAAATATGTAATTCTCTCCGAATTACGGAAAGAAAGTACACAATTGAATTGTGGAGAATTACGTGCTTATAAGAAACTTCTCGCAGCTTAAATGTCCAGAACAAAACCATTGTTTCTCCCATTGGCAAAAGGATATAAAATTGACCAAAAGTAAGATAGTTGGCTGATATTATCACAAGTATGAGTGCTTGGAATTTCAGCAAAATGTTGGACGCCGCCATGGTGGGAAAGGATTTGAAAGTTCAGACGATACAATGGATTTGCCGATGTTTATATTTCCAACCATCAGAACCATCTTTAAGGACTTACGAAACATGGATCAGTGTAGAGTGCAAAAAACAGGAACGCAGACATTATGAATATAAGACCCTTCTAAGCAATTTAATCTCCCCTTCTGTGTACGCCATTTTGCGCGCGAGAGGCAACAGAAGGACGGCGCAAGTAAACCTCTTTGGCAGTGGGAGCCGGGCTGGAGGCGGCAAAGAGTGCGGGTCGGACCTATGTAAATACGCCCAAGAATAAAAGAGCGCCGGAACCGTCAGCCATTGTGGCACTTTCTAGGCAAATGCAGACCCCGGCCTTCTGAGGTCTCACGCAGGGAAATTGTCATTTTAGCGCAGAGAAAATTCTTGACTAGACGTGAAGGCCAGAACCACTAAAAAACAATGAATAAATTCGTTGTGGAAGCGAAGGCTGTGAGGGAAGTAAATTCACGCAACACATGAGGAATTATATTGAAACAAGAACAAAGGAAAAGTGATAAAACAAAAGTAGAGAAGATCAGAAAATAGAAAGAAATAAAATTAAAACAAAAGCTCTGTTTACTGAAATACGGTTTCTTGGGAGTATATAGTTGTACGAGGTAATTATATTGGGTTCGTAGGTTGCGAGAGAAAAAATTATTGAGTTAATTTATTTATTATTTAACTTGTAAGTTAATACATTTCTTATAAATGAATGGTTCGTTTAATTATTAAGATGAATTGAAAGTACAGCGACCAAGAAAAATATTTGTTTTGTTAAATTGAATTCAAACATGAATCCATATAGAAAATTCCATTCCATCCAACTTGTATCAACAACTTTCATAATAGTAATCAATGGTGTCATCGATAACTCTATTTGAGTATATCACCTGATAACAAACCATTGGGTAAAGTAGTCCTAATTGCTCAGAGCTTTACAGCGCGACTTCCATCGCGCCTCGATGACGTCAAAATGACACGATTTTTTATGAAGCACGATGCCTATGGGCAATTGTACACTACCTTGTACATTTATATCTAACGTACAGCTCTCAACGAGAAACTGAAGCGGACTTGAAGGTGCCGCTCACGTATTGCACCATGATGGAAGAGTGGTCATATCAAAAGAAATTACATTGAAGCCAGAATGTCAGCAACATTAAAGAAACGTCCCACTGGCCCGTAAACAGCGCCTATTACGAACTAAACATGTGATGCATGTTCACGGACCGTCCACGAGCCACGCTGTAATACCTGCGGTGCAGTTGGCGAAGCCGTAGCGACAGCCGGAAATCCCGTATGGCCGGGGACTGGCGCGTATTAAAGTTTATTCCTGCGCCGAGATGCCGAGAGCCCGTGACAAACGTTTATTAGCGCAAATGAGGCGCTTACGAGCGGATAAGCCTCCATTGGCCTCGTCGACGCGCGAATTAAGGCAGCCCGTAAATTCTAATGTAGCCCTTTTTACTCGCGGTACGCGTAGCCGCGCAAAGCGCGGATAATACAAATAAAACAAGTAGCATCGTGAAGGCGACAATATGGCGCACGGGTGTGGGCGGTGGGCGGCCCGGCCTAGCGTGGCGCAGGCGCCAATGAGAAGAGGGGTGGGGGGACGAACAGGTAGGCAGGCGTAGATCGGATGTTTGGGGTGG